GTTATAGAGAAATGCTTAAAGTATAACCAACAACTATACATAGCTTTCATAGATTACGAGAAGGCGTTTGATTCAGTAGAAATATCAGCAGTCATGCAGACACTGCGGAATCAGGGCGTCGACGAAGCATATAAAAACATCCTCGAAGAAATCTACAGGGGATCAACCGCTTCCATAGTTCTTCATAAAGAAAGCAACAGAATACCAATCAAGAACGGTGTAAGGCAGGGGGACACAATCTCCCCAACGCTATTTACCGCGTGCTTACAGGAGGTTTTCAGAAGCCTAGAATGGGAACAGCTAGGGATAAGAGTTAAAGGAGAGTACCTTAGTAACCTGCGCTTCGCCGATGACATTGCATTGCTAAGTAACTCAGGAACGAATCGCAACTCATGATTATGGAGTTACACAAGGAGAGCAGAAAGGTGGGCCTTTAAATTAATCTGCAGAAAACGAAAGTAATGTACAACAACCTCGAAAAAGAGCAGCGCTTCGAGATAGATAATAGTGCTCTTCAACTTGTAAAAGACTATGTTTACTTAGGGCAGGTAATAACCGTGGAGCCGAACCACGAGATTGAAGTAACTAGAAGAATTAGAATGGGGTACGGAGCACATTTGGCAAGTATTCTCATATCATGACAGGCAGATTGCCACTATCCGTCAAGAGGAAGGTATATAACAGCTGCATCTTGCCGGTACTTAGCTATGGAGCAGAAACCTGGAGACTTACAAAGAGAGCTCAGCTTAAATTGAGGACGACGCAGCGAGCAATGGAAAGAAAAATGGTAGGTGTAACCTTAAGAGACAAGAAGAGAGCAGAGTGGATTAGGGAACAAATGGGGGTTAAGGATATCATAGTTGAAATCAAGAAGAGGAAATGGACATGGGCCGGGCATGTAGCGTGAAGACAGGATAACCTCTGGTCATTAAGGGTAACTAACTGGATTCCCAGAGAAGGCAAGCGGGTTAGGGGGAGACAAGGTTAGATGGGGAGATGAGATTAAGAAGTTTGCCGGAATAAATTGGCAGCAGCAAGCACAGGACCGGGTTAACTGGCGGAACATGGGAGAGGCCTTTGTCCTGCAGTGCACATAGTCAGGCTGCTGCTGCTGCTGCTGATGATGATGATGATGATGATGATGATGATGATACCATGAGAAAATTTGGGAGGAGGGGGGGGGGGGTGCACGAGCTTGGTGTGCCACACTCTGGCTACGCCACTGGTGAATGGAAACCCGCATGGTTGAGTACACATACGGGGACGAATACCCGGGGAGGAGAATGGTGGTGGCACAAACTGCGGTAAAAGTTACTTCGGCGAGAGAAGTAAGTTTTAGCATAGACTGGAGCGTACATGCATGATGTAAGAAAGAAGGTTTTGTCAAACTCGCTGTCCAAGCATGCAGAAGCAACTGGCCATCAAATAAACCAGAATATGAAAAAAATTAAGAAAATCAAGGGAAAGTAACTGGACTTTCGGGCTATATATTGACTCACTGACAACTCAGAGTCCTATTTTAATATACACATAATCAGACTGCTTGTACATTAATTTTTCGTTGTGAACGAGGCTCCCGTGCGAAAACTGAAACGTTCTGCTTTCATGTGAACATTCATGGTCTGTCGTCACCTTAACTCCATGGGCTCGAAATGACAACCACAACAAAGAAAAAGAGAGGTTACAGTGGCACTGCCAGTGGCATCGTGTACGTAGCGCACTGTGGCACGCCACCTGTAACTTTTACTGCAACTATCCGCATTGTGTAGTCTGCAGAAGTTCACACAGATGAAGCCAGAGCAATACAACGCTATTGAAAGAATGAAAACACTGCGAAGCCACGATAAAAACAACGCATTCAACCGCCAGCTTTCCTTGGCCAGATCGAGGCGAGATCACGTGATCCAACCTGGCACGTCGCAGCGATTGCAGCGCTCGCGCCTCCAGTGGTGGGTCTCGCACCGAATATTGGCAAGCATCAGTGCAGGGCTCGTATACCCTTCTGCGTACTGCGCTCTCAACACGAATATTGTGCGAAAAAAGCATTTCTCCCTGGAGCGGTCGTATTCTCCCACACCAGCGTTTTGTAGACATGTGCAATATAGGATCCAAGAAGGTAAAGTACAAAATAAGGCTCCCATGCCTTACCTTGTATAAATTTATAACTTGTTGCTACTGCATTCATTGCTTCACCCTTGCGGTGAAAGTGATTTTTTCCCCTTAGTTTTCATTGCTTGACAGTCGCCACCACAGAGCATGTGCTATGCTCAGCGATGGGGCAGCGAGCTTTTACCATTCAGGTGTGGAAGCATGCTTCGGTCTTTTCAAGCAGCTTTGGGAGTAGGAATATTATGGTTCTGGAGCAGATTCGAAGCAGTAAAAGGGGAGTTTCGGAGCAGCTCTGGAGCACCAAAAGATGTATTTTGGAGCATCAAAATTTAGTTTTGGAGCAGATTTCTCGGGTCACACATCACTGTTAATTAGAAGTCTTCCTTTTTCATAAAACCAAAAATTTCAGTGGTTTTTACTAAGCATTCAAGGCTGATGAAGTGACCAGACTTACCCCAAATTGATAAATATATTAAATCTTACAACATCAAAGCTGAAAGCACAGCAACTCAAAGAAAAAACATAAGCGGCACCCTGGACAGCTACCAGACCTCACACGAATGAAAAAAATTGACGTTAAAATGTGCCAATGTTCAAGATGTGAATAAAACACTGCACCCAACATTAACAGCAAGTCAATTAGACTATAGATGAACTAATAAAAGCTATTTTTATACTAAACCAATAGAGCTCTATAAAAATGAGTGTAAAGATTTTATGTTCCGGTCATTGAAGTGCTACAGCCGACATTAGGGAGCTTTAGAATAACGTTTGCTGGCGCTGCGGGCGTTGCGGGCATAGCTGGCGCCATATGAGTTTTAAATAGCGTTTGCCCTTCTGCAAACCGCAACGCACAATCCCAGGGGCAATGTAGCCTCGAAACCAGCGCTTGTAGGCCGCACACGCCACCCGCTATTTCGAAGTTTCTGCGTGCGGGCCGCGAACACGAACGGCGGCTCGCCTTACGACGCGTGCGCAGTGGCAGCAACAGCACCGCAACGGCTCGCGGTGCGCTATTCTAAAACTCCCTATTGCTAGGCAATGAAGTGATTTTTTTTGTTACGATATGAAGTATGTAGACACTTGACGAGTTTTTGCCATCGCCGCCATGTTCCGCGTAAACTACAAGGTGCTAATATTCTCCGCGCATCGTACGTTCTACCGGCGCGTATGATTGCGCAAGCTGAGGTGGTGAGCGCTGCTCAAGCAGAGATTAAACGAGGCAGCCGATCTCCATCCCTCGCTCGGAGGGTGGCACAGGCGATAGTATCCCAGCACTTGTTACACCTGCCGTCGAATGCTCAAGCACAGATAAAACACGCCGCCTGTCTTGAACGAGAATGAAAAAAGACCCGGGGGGAAAGGGGGGGTGCTCGAGCAGCAGCGGTGAACTTTGATTCTAAGGCGTGGTTGCGATAAGCTGGGGGGCGCTCCGGCTCGTAAACCCTTCTACGTGATGAGCTCTCAACGGGAAGAGATTGTTCGATAAGAGCATTTCTCCCTGGAGCGATCGTCCTTATTCTCTTACGCCAGCGTTTTGTAGAGTGTCGCTATGTCGGATCCAAAAGAATTAGCTTTCAGCCTTTGTACTGTCACACGGTCGTGATGTTGACGAAGGCAGCAGCCGCTGTTTTCACGAGTGAGCTTTTCATTTGGGCGAACCTGTGCCCGGAAAACTAAACATCACTCTACAAGCAATACGCACAGTAGACTGATAACAGCAAACCAGAACGTCGGCTGTCGATAATCTGCCAAGCAGCAAAGTGCGTCGGCATTTATACATGCGCCATCAAAGATTCCAGCGTTATCGCTAGCGGCCGCGTAAGTTCTAGAACCCTAATGTACGCGTTGTGTGTGTAATCTTATTGGAAGGTTCTAAAATTATCTAGATTGTTCCCAGTCATTCAGGCGCGGTTTGTGCAAGGCAGCATTACACGTGTAATGGTGTGGTAGCAAAAATAGAAAGAAGCCCGTGCGGCATGAGCATTACAACATTACAGACTTGCTATTACAGACATCGCTTCGCCGCTAATACTGATTTGTAGTTGTTTTTTTAATATTTACTTTAAGTTTATATGATTCGGCTAACAGCTTTGCTGTTCAAATATAGATGGAGTCGCATAATGAGGTATGCACACGAACACCACCTTAACAAGATTCATGCATGAAGAGAAATATGACGTGACTAGTGAAACAGAACCAATAGACGTGACCGAACTAATTTGATATGGACGCGGTTGCCTCCTTCGTGTAGCACACACGTATTGCTCGGTCGATGATAAAACTCGACTAAATTTGGCATTGCACATGCTAATTGCCGTTTAGGCGCAGCTTGGAGCAGCACGTCAAATTGGCACAAAATGGCGCCAATGGCGCAGCACTTCCACCCCTGCCATTCCACTCAGGTATTTATAGTTTGACTAAAAGCTTCGCTGTTAATAAATACAGCTGCATGAGGTACGCACACAAACGTCTTCTTAATAAGATTTGCGAATTCTACTCACGTGGCACAAGATTCATTTCAGTTCATGCATGGTGCGAGCAGCATGCATGAACTGAATACTGCATGGCCGACCTATACGGGGTATGGCTGTGGCTGCATCCTTTGTATCCAACCCGCGTTGCTTGGTCTATGACAGCTAAATTTGGCATTGTAAGTGCAAATTGTCGATTATGAGCAGCTTGGAGCAGCAGGTCAAATTGGCGCAGAATGGCGCAATCGGCACAGCACTTCCACCCTATTCATGTTTCACGTGTACTAAACTGTAATTGTTAAAGTTCACAATACTATAATGAGTCAACAGATTACATGTTTAGAAAATATCAACTTCTGTTCAATGTGAGAATGGGCAGAGGTAAATAGAAGAACAATACAGCAAAGAAGGCAATACCTGACAGTAGCCCGTCCGACCCTCTCCAACACTAAGGCCACCGAGGATCATGGGGTACGAGGCATTAAAGTGCTCCACCAGTTCACAGGGCATCTGCAGCAGCTCCACACGAAGGTACAGGCCAGCACGAAAGCCCTCAAACTGAACCCTCCGCTCATCCTCCATGTCTTCGAACTCTTTTTGGTTCAGCTACAATGCAAGCCGGGTGAAATGCTGTTTAGTTGACAAAATATTTGCTACTTAGCTCAAGTTGCTCACTTGTACTACAGTTAAAGCTCGATGTAGCGAAATTGAGGGGAACCACAAGTTATTTTGTTAAAAGGCTACTTCGTTAAATCTGGAAGCAATACTGCCCATGGGCAACTGTGTTGTTCAATCAGGGTACTTAGTAAATTATGTTTCGTTGAATCGAGTTTCAACTGTAACAAATTTATGTGAATTCCACAACAGTGCCACTGAAATATGTCAGACTGCCATCTAAAGATATTAAAAAATGACGATTTCATTGTGATAACTTTGTTCAATGAAAAAAGACAGCACAGCTGCTGTTACAAAAACTGCAGGGTGGCCCAAGTCCATTCTCTTCCCCTTTTGACTGTGGATTATGTTGGCTCATTTGACTTGTTAAAGGGCCCCTCACCAGGTTTGACAATTTTGAGCTGGCAAGCGCAATGCGTAGATGAGGCATTCATGATCACGTCTACCAAAATTTGCATTGCTACGCGCCGCAGAAATAGTTCAAATTTCAAGATGAACGCTGCTCCTCCTTTCTTTTGCGGGCACGCACCCAGAGAATGAGGGCATGACGTGTGCGTATGAATGGCCCTGCGTACACGGCAATGCAGTGACGTTGGTCATCTACGTAGACGACTATGCTCCGACGTTGGCAACAGTGGCATGTGACATGGCGAAAATTATTTAACACAACATGCATAGTTTATGTATTTGTTGCTTGAAGAGATTAATAAATATCTAAATAAATAATGAGACGCAATAAGAGAATGTGAGCATTCTTTTTTCTTTTCTTTTTTTTTTTCGTGCAAGTGAATTGCAACGAGATGCGGGACTCATGTGCTGGCGTTTTGCATGCGTTCGTGTCCCCGCGGCCATGGTCACCGCATCGAGCAAACGACAGCCGTGAAACGCTCCTACGCATTCGCGCACTCATTGTGCTCATCTATTCAACCGCGTCAAAACCAGCGTTTCCAAACCACCCCGCAGAAACAGGCAGTAAACCTCAAAACACCGCTGGTAAAAAAAAAAGCCGCTCGCGTCCGCGGGGATTGCGCTTGTTTGGGCACGTCACGCTTACGTGACCTCTTGGTCGGATGCCAGAGATGGTAGGGAAGAGATTTGGCTTGCGAAGGCAACACTGAGGAGCGGCAAGGGTTCCCAGCTCGCCTCCTCTCATCCTCGTTTCGCGCCGCTTCTAAAAAACAGTTTTCCAATGGACCGATTAAAAATAAATTTTGTGGCAAAATGTTCCTCATCAGACACCCAACAACTTCCACAGTCTAACTAAAATTTGGTATGGGGCCTGGTGAGTGGCCCTTTAAGGGACCTTCGCTTCATGTGTGTGTGACATGACACACAGCATTTATACATGAAATTACAAATAGGAGCCTCCTTGCTTTTCTGTGATGAGCAAACAGAGGCGACGGAAGGCTCTTCAAATGCTGAAATTGCTGAAATCTATTAGCTACCTCAGCTTTCCCAGCCCTTGTGCCCACTGCAAATTCTCTGCAAAATGAAGGCTGCCCGTGCACTCAGCTGTGCTCACGAGAGGCGATGCGCTTAGGGCTCTAGGTATGGCCAGAATGAATTTGACCTCATCTAATTTTACCTCTATTCTCGCTCGCCTTCACCAGGACGATGGCTGTCATCACCGCTGCTGCCTGGGAAACTAGCCGGCACGACCGGCAAAGGTGAAGTCGCACAACAGGATTTGCCTCACATTATTCTGCCAGTTATAATGTCTAAGAACAAGATACATGTGTTAATAGACTACTTTTGTACAAGTGGTTTGGTGGACACTGGTGCCACGATATCAGTTATGAGTCTTTCTTTCAAAAATCGCATTGGCTGCAAAGATACGTTTTCTTGGGGCGAATCAAGATTTCGTAGCTTTGGTGGGGGAGTAGTTCATCCTCTTGGAGTTTGTGCCGTCAATGTTTTATTGGCAGAAAAGGTGTTCCCAATACAGTTTCTTATGCTGCAGTGTTGTACCCACAATGTTATTTTCGGTCTTGACTTTCTCGAAGGGTGTGGCCTTTCGTCGGCTGTGGATGAGTCGCAGCAAGCCACGAAAGACGCGATGAACTGAAAGTGCCACCGTGGTCACTGAGTTCAGTAGCCAACGAACACTGAGCTCAAGCATGCCGACGGCCAACCACAAGTCAACAGCATAGCTTTTCCAACTGTCAGAGCACAAGCCCCCAATTCTGGAAATTTCGGCTAACTTGGGTTCTTTAACGTGCACCCAAATCTGAGCACACGGGCCTACAGCATTTCCGCCTCCATCGAAAATGCAGCTGTCGCAGCCAGGACTCGATCCCGCAACCTGCGGGTCAGCAGCCAAGTACCTTAGCCACTAGACCACCGTGGTGTGGCAACTGTATACACTTAAACCCCATTATAAAAAAGTGGCATCTTACACAAACATAGGTTCAATATATTGGCACGATCGCCACATCAACAATCAATGGATGGCAAAATGGTGCGTCATCTGCTAAGGTACTTCCGGTTCGCGGCATATTTCTTCACCGCATCAATATTCAAAAATTTATTGTAAGGGTAGATCCCTACCACTATATCTATTGCAAGAATATTTTTAGCTTAATTCGCTATAACCAGTATTTCATTATATCAAGGCTTGTGAGGGTGCTGACACCCTCCCGTAAAGTTGTTTGCACCGCGTGGCACACGTGTCTCGCGCAGAAGCCGTATTTCGAAGTCACGGCTATTGAGCAATAAGTGGTGTTGTGTAGGCGAGCTGCGATCACCACAATCATCATCATGGCATAGCGCCGGCGACGACAAGCCTTGGTAGCGGTGAGAAAGAAATAAGTAGGTCTCTTCGGCGCGTGGCGGTAGCCGTGAACGGTCGTCTCTAGCGTGGGTCCCCGGTGCGTGGCACCACGGGCTGCGCGTTGGGGGCCCTCGTGGCTAGCCAAGTGTTGGCGACGCAGCCTTCGGTGTGTTATTGTGTTTGTCATGTTTAGGAGTGTATGGTAATATTGTCACGTGCTTGCTCAAGAAAGACGATGGCAGTTGTGCATGTGCCACGAAGGACTACGAAATGGACGAAAAAGAAGAACTCGCTTGCGCGTTCTAATTAAAAAGATCGACCTGCTTCTGGTGTCTCAATCTCTGCGGCAAGAACTCTGTTTTGACGTCGTGACACTGGTGGAGGTGCTGGAGCCTACAATCGGATGCAGGACACTCTTGCTCGGACCCGTTCACCTAGTCCAGAGACCCAGCCCCTCGTCACGACTCCGGTGCACCGATTCAGTCGGCGCCTACTAGGCCTAAGTCCGGAGTCCACACCTGTTCCGCCTCTAACCAGCGTTAATATATATAGATATAGCTCCTACCACATCCACGGCTACCCTTGCATCGCAGACTACTCTTCCCTCCCAGGTGACTCTTGAACATCTTCCCGTTCCTGAAGTTTTCCATGGGGAAGAGTACGAGGATGTCGAGGACTGGCTCGAACAGTTCAAACAGGTTGCTGTATCTAACCACTGGAACGAACAGCACAAACTTGGCCGTGCATATTTCGCCCTGGGAGATAGCGCTCGCATGTGGTACGAGAACCACGAGGCTACTTTCCAATCTTGGGGAAGATTTCCGTCAAAAGCTCTTCACCACATTTTCGAACACGGACCGACGGGATCGCGCACAGCAACTGATTGAGGCTCGCATACAAAAACCCAACGAAACAGCTGCCATGTACACAGAGGGTATGATCCGTCTGTTTCGACGAGCTGACCCTGACATGCCCGAGGCGAAGAAGGTGCGTCACCTAATGCAGGGTGTCAAAGAACCAGTGTTTGCGGGCCTCGTACGAAATCCACCTACAACAGTAGATGAAATTCATAAGAGAGGCGACTGTCATCGAGCGCGCACTGCGACAACGATACCGACACTTTGACCGCCTGCCGAACCACACGGCAGTAAGTGCTGCAGCTGAGAACACTGCCGTATGTGAAAGTTCCCTGCGACAAATGATTAGGGAAATACTGCGTGAAGAACTTCGGGCCCTCTTCGTCCCTCCTACCCAACCGCCCGTCGCATCTGTTGCCGAAATCGTCCGCCAGGAGTTGAGGCAAGCCGTTACACCACCCGCGCCAAATCCTGAGCCACATCCAGCGACCTACGCTGATGCGGTCCGTCGTCCTCCACTGTCATTTGTGGCGACACCCGTCCAGCCACCACCCGCTGCCGTACCTTGGTGGCAACGGGATTCCATGAGACGACCACCAGTTCGCCGAACTGACTTGTGGCGCATGGCCGACCGTCGACCTATTTGCTTCCGCTGCGGAGAACCAGGTCACATTGCCCGCTATTGTCGTCATAGCGATTCCGGGTTCGGGAACTTTTCTTGTCCCGCTTCTTACCGCTCTGAAGACCGTCGTGCCCACGATGCCGATCAACTGTCGACTGGCCAAGCAACTACACCGCGTCGCTGGCGATCTCCATCTCCTGCGCGTCACCGTGACTTCCCTCAGAGCTACGCGGACGTCACCAGAGGCCGTTCGCCTAGCCCGTGCCGGGGAAACTAACTGCTGCGACCTTCGGGGGCAAGGTTGACAATTGTCGAGACACCGAAAAGTTCCCCTTATCATCGCAAAAAGATATGACGACAACCACGACGAATACAACGACGAATACTAATGCCGGTGAAGTTGTACGTGCTGATCTTGGCGTTTTCATTGACAGACATCACGTTACAGCACTGGTCGACACAGGCGCCGACTTCTCAATCATGCGACAAGAACTCGCCGACCGCCTTAGAAAGGTCAAGACACCGTGGACAGGGCCGCACATAAGGAGTGCTGGTGGTGAGCTGATGACTCCCACGGGTATATGCACCACTTGACTTTGCATTGGGGATTCTAGCTTCGTGGCCACTTTCGTCCTGTTGCCTGCTGTAAAGAGCTAATTTTGGGCATAAATTTTCTTCGAGA